TGTACTTTTCAGCTTATGGAATCGATCAATGTGAATTCTAAATGGCTCGTGTGTAGACGATCGAATTTTATCGCACATTATATAGAAAATAATATAGAATCATATATATAGAAAAATATTCGTGATGGATAAAAATTAGTTTGTAATACCTGCATATCCTAGTTGTGAATAGGAGACTGCATTACATCTAGTTTTGTACTGTTTGTTACTAGTATCTAGTTTTAGATACGATACTTCGAGTATTGGGTCAAAAGGATTAACAGAAATATGAAGATCTCAGGCCATATATACTTAAACCAATGACGATTAGATCGTCAACGTTAAGAGTTACGAATCTCTCACGATCGACCCACATACACGTCGATTGATGTTTCAAGGAAACATTGAAACGGATGAAGCATCTAAGATGATCGTTTATGGTCTCACGACCGCGCCGATTGCCACAACGAAAGAAGTTAGAAGCCGTTCGAACGATCGGGAAGTGAGTCAGTGGCTGATCAATCGCGACACATGCCGTAAGAAGAACCTATCCTTTCTCGAATCGAATCGAATTCGACGAAGGAGATAGGAATGTCGATATAAGGCCACTTTGAGATTTTCTAATAAATCAGGGACATCTGGATATATAGTACTAGTAAGTCAGGAGCATGTGAACTTGTGGACACTTGCTTGCTCTTTTAACAGAATGCAATATTGTTTCAGAATGCAATTTCAGAATGCAGAATTGCAGAATATTGTTTCAGAATTAACAGAGTGCAAAATTATAAATAGCAGGAGCAAAAATGATTTATCCTTATAGCACGATAAAATGTACTTCGACAGTTTTATTATTTAAGGAGTTCGTTATCCTCAGGTCGTTCCAGAGATCCTTCCAAATTAATCCAAAGGTTATCGTGACTCTAACAATAATATTTAATATTAATTAGTTGCATACTTAACTTTAACATACCATCGATAAGATTTCAGATGATCAATTTATATTTCGTAGAAGTTATATCCGAAGAAGATAAATAATTTAGTTCTTTCATATAATAATAAAAATATTCGTTATCGATGAATGGTTGATAAATTTAATTGTATTATTGCGTATGTGTGTACTAAAAATTTGTTGTATGGACGTTAGTTTCTTATTTCGCCGTTATTCCATATATCTTAACAATATTCACTCATTACTGTAAATCGATCAAGTTCCGTGACCGATGGAAAGTATCCAGAAAAATTGGAAATGGATTATCGCGTGGAAAGAAAGTTTAATCTGCTTCTACCGAAGAGGAGGTGCTCTCGACCATTTGGTCACAGTCGATTAATATCGTAATTATCAACATTGGTTCTCCATGACTTTTTTGCTCTCGAGGATAGCCCACGGCGAGCAAACTTCACTAATACGTGGATACCGATCTATCCGAGCAAAAAACGCGTTCATCGCGTTCGATTCGCTTTCCATCGTGATCCACCCACCTCTCGGATGTGTAATGGATACGAGAAGACAAGAAGAAGACGGCTACTTTCTTGTCTCTGTGCTCGGCACTGTTTCTATTCGTCACACGATGAATTCTCCGCGTCAGTGATCGCGGGTGAAAAAGCTGCGGAACGATCGAGTTAAACGGGTCCCTGTACGTGCCGCGATAAAAAAGAAAAGTTGGTTTGAATCGTAACTCGACGAAGAAGCGAATCTATTCGGCAACGTGGATCTCGTTACCAACCTGACGAATCGTGCCGATTTCGCGAGAAAACTTTCACGATTTTTAGGTTAAAGTTTTCTGCCCCTTGGGACGCGTCGCGTTGTGCACTTTCGAATAACTTTCGTGAGAGATAGAAGAAATTGTACGAGTGCAACGGGTACGAAAACGATCGAAACGAAGTCGTAAACATCCGTTGGAATTTTCAATGTTGCGTGCAAACGAAGAGCTACACGGGACGCCTTACGTTCTGTCATCGAACAACTGAAAGTAAGATCTTAGCCGCAAGGAGAATGATTGCTGTTGCGTCTTATGAGTCGATCCACGATACCAGCTACCTATGTACTTACTTTCCTCGACACGCAAATTGCGTAATTATCGTTTGCTCTTACCACTAATGCCCCGAGATGAGATTTCGAATCGGATTCACAGGTTATTTCAGTCTATGAGATTCATGTGGTGGTTCGATGAAACCCTTAATTTTAATAAAAAGCATACGATGAAAAATGATCTTAGAATTGATCCGTTGCGTGACCATCGAAATTTAGCGGGCAAATGGAAGAGGAAGAAAAAAGGATTCCAGCAGATGAACCAATGCTTAGAGAAATTCGTATAACTGTGCTCCGCAATCTCTTATTCCAGATGAAAAGAGAATAGACCGAACTTTCATTAAGGAAGAGGGTATAAATTACCAGTTGGAATTTCTCTCGTTTAGGATGTTGGCGATCGTATCGGGACGGGCGTTAATGCCAGCGTGCTGTTTTCGGCGAAAACGTAGAAAAAGTGTGAATAATAGCGGAGAAGAGTGGAGAAACGAATCGCTCTAGCAACACCCAATTTATTTAGTCTTGTCCAGAAGAGCGTAATGACTGGCCGTGTATTTTGAAGACAATTAACCTATTTCTTCTCCGATCTCTTTCTGCTAGGTGGCTAAAAACACGTACCATGAAATGCTTGCCGTAATTGAATCGCCACTCGTCGCTCAGAAATCGTAACGAGAAAGTCTGTCTCGTAAATGGCGAAAACTGCCTACGAACGAATATAAAACGATTTATCTATTTGGGAATCGTCGATGTGCAGCGTTCGTGACATAACAAAGTTCTTGGAATTAATTGAGATTCGCGGATGCAAACGATAGGTATTTTTCGTGTGAATTTCTTCCATGAACACTCATCAATATTTCCATGATGACAAACGTTTACTTTCGTCGAAGGAAGGATCTATGGTAATTTAACTGAAGAAATGACAAGAACTACAGAGGAAGAACACGATAAGCTACCTATTCCTATTTTTCCTATTTCTTTATTTTCCTATATTTCTACAGGAAAGTAGTTTCAAAATTTGGCACTAAACGTATGTTCTTTGATAAAAATTTGCAAAATATTGCTCGTCACGATATTACAACATTGAAGATATTAAAATATCATTTGTCTTAAATAATTACACCTTTGGCTCTCTCAAAATTTGGCCGATCTATCAACTATTTTTAAAAGGCTCGAGACTCTTATCTTTGAAAGATTTACATCTTTAGATTTGGAAGGTTATCTGCATTTTCGATCATATTATCTTAAGAGTTTTCTGTTTAATCATAAAATGACATTGGAATCAGAAAATCAATAAAACTATACTTGTCATGTTTTTCTTGGTCATATCCTTCGTGTGATCGTCATATTATTTCTACTGATATATGATTCTTATTAACCGCGTAGATATTAGATAGAGATGCGAAAATATCGAAACTGGTTACAATTTCTGCGAATGGCCTTGCTTCTCATTACACTCGTGCCAAGAGAAGCTGTTTATTGAGTTAAGAGGAGTTCAATAGGATTCGAGAGGCCAATGAAAGAATCATTGCACGTTGGTGCAGTATTTCACATAAAAACAAGAAAAAGTACAGACAGACTCAGCTAGAAACGCAAGCGGGGTGAAAGTGATTTTTTTTTTTAGAAATCTTGGCAATCGATCTCGCCAATGGCAAACTGTCAAGCCGATTGTCTGTAAGGCGGTTTATCTTGGCGTGAGAAAAGCAACTGAATGAGCAAGTCAGAGAATCGCAATTGCATAATTGATCACAACTGATTGCTTGAGTTTATCTCCTTGAATTTAAGTTCTTTTAAACTTGCTGCCTTCTCTATTAGTGTTACATACTTATTCTGAAACCTGAAAGCGAGGAAATTATTCACTTAATATCAAACATTTTTGGAATCAATATTTAATTTTACATAAGATTCATTAATCTTTTCTTCGTAAGATTTGCATAAATTTTTAGAACGTGTATTTGAAGCATCTGTAGATTTACTGAAAGTTTGGAGTTCAAAAGTAGCACCATAGTATGTATCCTAAAAAAATGTTAGTATGGTACTTATACTCAAAAGCTTTATAAAGTAGACAGATTTATGGTTATCTTTTTTTATATACAGTTTGAATAAAAAACAAAGCTACATATTACGTATTCTATCGGTACATATAACCCTGTTCAATAAATTTTTGATGACATTCCCAAGTCTGTTGCGAATTCCTTTTATTCGATATCAGATCGTAATCTTTATATCAGATTTGGCTCATGCTAAAGAAACAGTATATCTAGTATACATGATTGTATGAAGTAATTGAAAAAAATTAGTCGTAATAATATAACAAAATAGTCAAGTTGAATTAACAGCACTAATATTTTTGCATACGTTCAAGAACAGTTTTAGAACAATCAATTATAATAAATCATTAATAATAATCAAAATTAAAATTGTACATGATATGTATATTGTATGTGTATACATAATTTCATATGAGATCTCCAGTTGGCCAGTCTATCTTCCTTATCCTCGCATATCTATACTTTCTCATCCTTACCTACGTTCGATTATCATTATACGTTCGAATTCAAAATTCAAAGATGCGCACAAATGAAATAATTCTGGCTTACGAACGTTTTTTGAAAATGTATTTAGAAACGTAAAATGGGTCACTTTGTGTAGCTATCTCCTTCTTATGGTGTGATCTGGACAGTCTATATTGTTTTCTCATTTACTATGCACATGATAAGTTACCGGCTGCATACATAACATAGTCATTGACAGATTGACGTGTGGTTTGCGTGGTGTGGGACGTTGCGTGTGGTTTGCAAAAGCTAAATCCATCGAATATATTGATGATATTCATTTTTAATTGACTTATAATAGGCATTTCTTACAGCCTCGCATATGCAGGTGTGCACGGGGCTTTAAGCTTATTAAATTCTTGTTTATATACATATATATATATATGCATGGATATATTGGGTTCCTCGTTTTCGATGATGAGTTAAATATTAATTCCTATGTTCACCGTAGCAAATCGCAGAAGACGTAAGAAACACTGATTTTTCTCCAAATTGGTATTTCAGAAACTGAGACACGAAGTCCCATTTAATATCACATCTATCCTGTTCTTGTTAGTCAATGGAATAATCGCCACGTGTTTGGCAACGATTTTGCGCTAATATAGAGCCTAAAAATGGCGCTAGTTCGTCGTATTAATAGTAATTTTGGTTTTGTATTAAATACATTATATTGTAAATGTACGACAAATATAAAGAGATTTGTAACGGAACACAATGTTATGAGATATTCCAATCAAGTTGGTATGCTTTCAGAAAGATAATTTTATAAAAAATTATATTTCTAGTGTCATAACCTTACTCGCAAGATCATAACTTTCAATGATCGTATTATTTTCTCTCCTGTTTTTTTTTCTTAAATATGCCTTCAACTCTATATCAATTGGTTCTTTTCCTTCATTATAATTTAGTTATTGTTTTATTCGTTTCTTATTTCATTTATTAAAGATTATCTTACTAATTGAAGCCTTAACATTCATTTGTATAATACAATATAATTGATAAATATCTAATATTTAATAAAAGACTATAAATAACTTAACACATATAATATAACTAATCTCCTTTAGTTAAATAACATAACAAGTGTTATCAGCATTGTTATATGTATATTGTTCAGTAAATATCAGTATTTAAAGCAGTATGAAGTGAGAAATATATTTTGTAGGTGCAGATAAACATATAAATTATGAACCATTTGATCAAATGCTTAAATTCAGGCAGAATGAAGCAAAAAGATGTATTTTAGTAAAGCTATGTGATATGAAACATATTAGTGATTTTGAAAATTTTTGTAAATGTTATGTAACTATTGTAAACATTTTTCCTTATTACACAGCGAATAATAACGTAAGTGTAGACATCTGAAATTTTTATTTCATAGATCTTTATTTAAACATTATAATATACAATTTAATGAACTTTATATATAATTTCAATGTATCATAATTATTTATAGAATTTTGTATTAATGGAATTACGATCAATTGAAGATGTGCAACACCTCAGAGATATAGCTGTCTTTAGAACAGATGTAGAATGTGTTCAAAGTGTGACACCATTATTTTCATTTACATCACGGAATAAAATCTGTCCAATTACGTCAACAAAAGATATTAGTATATATTCCAACTTTAAAACTCTAGCGCCAAATAAAATTGACAAATCACTGGAACAAATAGATTCTGTAATGTATTAACATATTAAACTATAAATTTAATTTTATTATTATAAACTACATATAATAATAGAAAATGTTTTAATGTTTTAGGCGTCAGATCAAATGATAGCCCTATACAATTGTTTAAAAATTACAGATCTAGACATAAGACTGAGATTTTATACTGCTAATGAGATTTCATATTACTTAACTAGGTTATTTCCCAATATATGTGTGGTACCATTTGGATCCTCTGTTAATGGATTTGGTCAAATAGGATGTGATCTTGATTTACTATGTAAACCTGTTGTGAGTAATAATAAAAAAATTGTAAGTATGAAGAAGTATTTTGACGTATATACAGGGTAGTTGGTAACTGGTGGTACAAGCGGAAAGGGGGTGATTCTACGCAAAAAAAGAAGTTGAAAATATAGAATAAAAATTTTTTTTAATTTTTCCATCGAGACAATGATCTACAGTGAAATCCGTTATAACGTACCGTACGCGTACCGAGCGAAAATTCAAAGTCGATTTTCTCGAAAACAAAGCCACAAACGAAAAATTTTTAATCTATATTTTCGACTCCTTTTTTCGCGTAGAATCACCCCCTTTCTGCTTGTACCACCAGTTACCAACCACCCTGTATAATTATGTTACCAGTTTTGTATACCTTTGATAAAAAAATTGCTTTGTTTTCAGAACTGGAGGAGGTTCTTGTTTCTGACACAAAATATCCCTCTTGCAGAAAGAAATGAACAAAAAGAATTCTTAGAAACAGTAGGTACAGTAATGAAACTGTGTATTCCTGGAATCAGTGATGTAAAAAAGATTCTTGGAGCTCAGGTTCCTATAATTAAATTTTATAACGTATATACAAATATGAAATGTGATCTTAGTAGCACAAACCTGTATGTAATAAATATTTATTACATAAAAATATATATATATATTTTTCATCTTTTTGGGGTATTACAATAGTTTTTGAAATTATTTGTACAGGATTGCATTACACATGTCCGAGTTGTTATATACATATGGACAATTGGATTGGCGCATTAAGCCACTTGTTTACACCATTCGTAAGTGGGCAAGAGTTATGAATTTGACAAAGGAACAGCCAGGTCACTGGATAACAAATTTTTCCCTTACTTTGTTAATTATATTTTATTTACAAGTGAAAGATATATTACCATCTGTGAACACCATAAAGTGCTTTGTAGGTAAGTATGAACATTAAAAAAATTCTTTATATTCATTTATTGTATTGTACTTTTTATTTCTCTGTTTACAGAACTCAGTAGGAATGACAACGATGCAGCAGATCCTAATTTTAATTGGTTTGAAAGTTGGAAAAAATCCATAAAGCGTACCAATAATGAAGATTTGCACAATCTTTTATTTAATTTTTTTGAATATTATAGTATTTTCGATTTTAAAACGCAAGCAATTTGTATAAGAGATGGAAGATACAAACCGAAAAATGATTTCTCGCCTCTTTATATTTATAATCCATTTAATACAACATTAAATGTCAGTAAAAACGTTACCTCATGTGAACTAATACGTTTGGTAGATTGCTTACAAAAAGCATTTAATACAATGTTAAATTCATCTGAAAAAGACGTTATTTCGAAACTAATTAATTTAGAAGCAAAAACAAAAAGAACACAAATAAGACCAGAGGAAAAGCTTTTGCCAACTGTAACCAATATTAAGAGTTTGAAAAAAATACAAGGCAATATAATAAAGTAATAATAAATATGACATTTCATTTCAAGTTAATTTATTTGTAACTAATTTTTCTAATTTTCACCTGTCCTGTAAATATAATTTTGATATTAAAAATTTTAAAATTAGGAGATGGATAATGCAAGAATCATCATCATGTATTTATTCTTAAATTTAAGTAGATGTATGAAAAATAGAATAAGTATTTGATAGAGAAACTTTGATAATTAAAAAAGAAATGAAAAATGTAAATTTACTTCTATATATTATCATAGCTAATAAATTGTGCGTTATATACTTTATTAAGATAAAAATGACATAATTCAGATTACAATCTAAATACTAATGTTATAATACCATATGTATAAAACAGATAGATTTTATCGAATATAACGAGTATAACGTCTTCATTTTGATATCTTTTATTATACGCCATACCTTTTTCTTAAATCTTATTAAAATTTAGAAATATAAAGCAAACTGTGTTGGAAAAACGTGTTGCACCAGTTCTACAAAAAATAATTGTATAAATAGCTTGTTATAGTAATATAAACTGTACATACAAAATTGTAGGACTTGAACTCTAGTAGGAAAAAAAAATAAAAGAATACGTAAAATCATGTTAGTAAATTGTCTGCATCGAATAATGGAAATATCTATCGATAATTAAACGATTTTTATACTTCATAACTTGTATATTTCTCTATATTATCAGCAATTCGATATTTTTCATACATAATTAATCGTGTACACTTACTATAATAACTCATGATCTGTACGAAGACCGTGATATTTTCTTAATTTTTTAACGATTGTATTTAACTTTCACGAGGAACCTTCGTTTTCGTGGAAGCTGAGTATTGTGTATTTCTAATGAAACAATCACTTCAATATTTGTCACGTGTGTGTAATTGTAAAAACATTTATCGCAATTATACTCCTATATAATTGAAGTACAATTGCAGACGATGGATCCTCGTGTGTTTGGCAAATTACAAGTACAGTTGTAATTAGGCTGTCTTTTCTTATCAGGACAAAATGCAATCACTTCGATTTTCCATGTACAATCGATGATTCGTTCGTCGTTCAATTATAGGGATTGAGTGTACATTGTATTTGTTATATATAAAATTTGAATTTGTTATATATAAATTCTAATTCTTCCTTTTTTTCACGATTCAATTTCAATTGTTCACTTTACAAAATCCATTCTTCTTAATCCAATTCTAATTTCAAATTAAAGAAAACACATGATTTGAGCAGTATGGGAAATTATTTCCTTCATTTCCACTCTCCTTCTTCTTCTTCTTCTTCTTCTCCTCTTTCTTGCTTATTTCCTTCTTATACTTTTTCATAGTAGGAGTAGGAGTAGTGGTAGTAGTGGTGGTAGTAGTAATAGTAGTAATAGTAGTAGCAGTAGTAGCAGTAGTAGTAGTAGTAGCAGTAGTAGTAGTAGTAGTAAGTAGTAGTAGTAGTAATTAAATCATAATACCCACATATAGTTTATCGACGTATTCCTATAATCCTATTTTGAGCCTCTGAATGTTTATGCACCATGTAAGGATTGCATCAACAGTAAGAGTATCATTTATTAATTTCTTTTTTCTCTTTTATATACGTATATGTAATATGTATACTTTTTTTACGTATTATTTGACTATTGGCAGCAATATTATGACCTTCGGCGCTTCAAAGTGCAATCAAAATGTTGTTCGATAAAAAATTGAAGACTGCTCTACGTTGAAGGCTGGTTGACCCTGAAACAACTCTGACTAGACATACATGGGAGTAGAAATTACTCGATCAATTATATAAGATGATTATATAAACGTTGAAAACACTTCTTGGTCCAGACCGAGAAATAAAACATTCGAAAAATTTACAATGTCTCGTAAAAGTAAAAACATGCACTTGTCGAAGGTGCTTTAATCAATAGCAGTTTATAGCGATAAACGATTCCTAATTCGTAAGATCATCTTCGTCTGTGGTATTATATACATCACACGAAATGCCCTTTATGTTTATTATAATACCTCTAATAAAACGCTCAAAATACTTGGAAAAAAATCCTCGTAGTACCATTTTGCGTAACAATGTATTATTTTTTTTCTACCAATAACAATATGTTATCGGTCGAAAAAGTACAGTCCTTCTATAATACTTTCCCCGATGTATGCTAGGCATTATTTTGGAGGGTATCGATTCCTTCCCGGATAGCCAAACGCAGCCCAACTACTTAGAACAGCCTAGTAAATACTTTTATTCCGATATAATTTTCTTTCTACTTAACATCTACTTCCGCACTTTGGCCATCCGGGCCGGATACCTCTTGAAAGAAAGCTTCTTTGAAACCTTCACCGTGGCTTCCTTTGAATCATTTTAATTTGTCTTGCTCTTTCGATGATGACGATGATGATGCACGTGACGATGATGCAGGTGTGACCTCGTCTCCTGCACGGCCGCCACCAGTGTTCTCACGGTTTCCTCGTGCCCCTCGAAACTGTCCGTTTTCTTCAGCTGGCTAAGAGATGAGGCTCCCCCCTCGCTGGCCGTTACACTGCGTTTGCTTTTTGGCCGAGGAAATGTTTCCCAGGAACGCTGCTTCTGCACCAGAGACGACGACTTCGGTGTAGGCCCGATCAAAAGAACCATTGTTTTCCTGGGATCCTGCGCGGATTGACCTACCGTCCCATCGACAATACTCGATCGCCTGCTTCCCGAGCCGGTGGTACTTAGGCTGTCACAGCTCGCACGTCGACGTCTCCTCACCTCCGTCGAGGCCTTCTCATCCGCGTAGAACACATCCTCCGAGTCACTAGCTGGATACACTTTGGTTCCCTTGCCTGCAGGAATCGATTGCTCATCGGGAACCGCGTGTACCTGAGCCTGAACTCGCTTCTTCACCTCTCCCGTGCTGGACGCCTCCGAAATTCGTTGATATTCTCCTTCTTCCCCTGCTAGAAGTATGTGAATGATTTAAATGAATGAACTAGGATGATAAAATCAAATATGTCGCTTCATGCATCCTTCTTTGAGGAATTAGTTATATTAATGTTTCGGAGAACCGATGTTGTAAAATTAAAAGAAACAATGTAGCTAAGATATATGGTTTTTAAATGATGTTTGATGTGAAATGTTTGTTCTATTATGTAGAAGAATTTGAAGAATTTGGCATGAGAGATAGGTAATTGAATGATGAATTGAATTGAACCGTGCATTTACACAGACATTGGTTTAATTAAAATTTTCATGATGTGCACCGAATGAAAAGAATACTCGAACTGTATAACTTGGAAGAAAGATGGAAATATCGTCCATCATCCGTTAATACCCATTACATTGTTTTAAGTGGAACAGTATGTAATAACCGCATCACTTGTCAGTACGTTTGCTCCGAAGCGAGCCACTCTGTGCATCAACTTATACCTTAATTAATTAGCCGGCATAACTTTTAATGAAAGCGATACTTTGCCGCACTCGTTCCTGAATTGGGCGCGATAGTACAATAATTCTCGTGTACATTCATCAGGATTTTATTTACATCAATCATAAATGCTATCTACATAATCCTCTGAACTATCGTCAAATTTATAGCATCAAATTCTTTCTAGCAACATTATTTACTCGTGCATACAATCCTCACAGATCTATTCTTACCAGTCGTATGCGACTGTGGTTGCTGGGAATCCGTGCACCTTTCTGGTTGATCGAGTCCCTCGGCAGAATTATCTCCACTGCCACCCTTCAGAGATCGATACAAAGATCGTACTTTGCTGGCAGACCAGTGACCAGGCGGTGTTTTAGGCTTCGTACTGTCGGGAGACTTCCTCGGTCGTCGGCTCTGACTGCGATCACGACTTTCCTCTCTTCCCGGCGATTTCTTACGGTCTTCTTTACTTCTAGCTTTTTCGATCAATTGGCTAAGCATTCCTCTTTTCGAGTCCGTTGATTTGGCCGTTCCATAGACAATAATGTTTCCACTCGAATCCAAGATAGCTTCGACATCAGCGGAAGGAGTACGGCAACGTGTTGGTACCTCCTTCGTTTCTAAATGAAAAATTCACGTGGATCACGTGATAATCTTGAAATTGGAGTATATTGAAATTAAGAGTAGATACCTTTCATGTAAAGCGCGTTATCTGCACTAGTTGCAGTAGTACGCGAATGTCGATGATCCTTGGTCGGGGCTTGGGTTTGCGGTTGCGGTGGTTCCTGCATTTGTAAACGTGCCAAGTGATCCAGTAACGCCTGCAAATGCTGATTACTGGCTGCATCAGAGGCTATCATGCTTACTTCACCAGCACTAACTCCGGTTGCGAAAGATTTTATATACGGTTCTAATTGTTGAGCAAGATTCTGCAATTGTTTTACCTGACTTCTCAACGATAGGATATCGTTCATCTGAATGAACAAAGGAATTCATTAATCAACGTATCTGCAAGACGTTCAAGCTTTGCCAATAATAAAATCTAAATAATACCTGAGAATGGAATATTTCTTTTTCTATGTGAATTCTACATAACTGTTCATCCCAAAGTGTATCGAACACGTTTCTAAGACGTTCTAGTTCCATCTGATAATGCTCTAATTGTTGCTCTAGTACCCGACAATCCCTCGCCACCTGTTCGTAACGTATGCCCAACGGAGGTGTGTTAGCTCTTCTCAGAACTGCCACATCACGATGTAATTCTTCTAAACGTTCCTTCACAGTGAGCAATTGCTGATTCAATTCCTTCAGCTGACTATCAAATGTTCGACAGTGGCTGGAAAACGGTCCACCGTCGGTCCCGCTCTTGGTTGGAATCCTCTGAGCAGACTTGCTGCTCTGCTTGGAAAAGAAATATCTCACGTAAACTCTGAGCCATTTCTTCCCAGAACGTCAGACGTGTATATAGATATATACGGGTCTGAATAAACTGTCTGATACTGACTACCACATCATCGGCTAAGAAACTAACAAGAAACGAAACGTTTTCACGTCTGCCGAGAACAGTCAATTTGCTACAAGAATGACTGTATTCTAATCTGGCTACTAACTACCACCATACG